ATCATCTGAAAATAGAAAGAACTTCTTGAACTGTACTCATCTCAAAAGTACATCTTTCTTTGTAAAAACAAATTATTTCAATACGAAAATCGTCTTTTCCTACTTTTCAAACAGTAATTATGAGAAGATCATCTAGTGATAAACAAGCAGATTTTCATCTATATATATTGTAATAATACTTCCTAATTACAATTATTTTCTATTATTGAAGTTTTAACTTTTTACTCAGATAACTGAAGATTTTTGTTTTCTGTTACCTAATTCAAAAAGAAGGAAACAGCCATATACAATCAGTTTTTCTTTCATATCTGTACATCATTTAGAAACAAATTACATTATTTGATGGGTACAGAGGGGGGTTAAATGAAAAAGATTCAAGTATGGTAGTACTGATATTACTCAGACATGTACTCGACTAGGTGGAGAAATTAAAATGTTGAGTATTTGATCCAACCTGTTCATTGTAGAATTTTTATTTCTAAGAAAAAGAAATACTTTTGATGTATTAGGATGAAAAGATAATGTTTAAGAATTCTTTGTTTTCTGTAGATAAATGCTAAACCAGTAAGAATTACTACGATAAGAAATAATCTAGGCATTGATTGAGTTTTCATTGCTATTATTGTTTGAATATGATTAGGGCAAACTTTTGATTGAAACCATTTTAGTTTTAAATTACGATTTTGTTACCGTATTTTATAAAAAAAAAGGATCGATGCATTAGATCTAAAATATTTAGTTAATAGTTCTATACCGAGGGAAAGCTAGATAATCGACGAGGCATGAGTTGCCTAATTCGATTTATATTATAAATGGACATCTGATAGACTAATCTCAGTTTTAATATAAATAGATCTATATCTAAATAGACCTAGGAGTTTAGGAATAGATAGGGATAGATTTAGTCATACATGTGTATACCGATGAACATAGGCTGATATATAGCTCGGGTGAGAGTATTCCTGAAACTATGTATAACAAAATCTATTTCTATCTATTCCTAAACGTACATGAGGGGGCTTAGGCAGAGCTGAACTTATCCCTATCCATTCGTAAACTGACATGGTTGAATAGGCATAGCTAAATCTATCGGTATCTATTTCTAAGCATGTATAGGAGTGTATTAGGAATTCGTCACTTATATAAGTCGAATTAGGCAGCTACTCCTTTTTCGTTTTTCATATCACTAAATAATTGAAGATGTTGAGTATATAGCGTTGTGGACCATCGAAAGTGTTACACAAACGTCTATAGAAAATCTATTTTATAATACTCATTCAAACTTTTACAGGGGCCTCACTAATCAGTTATATCAAACCGTTCTACAGGACGGTAAATCAGTCATAATTCCCACTACACATTCCAGAAAACAAATTTACTATACACCATTCGACGCATCTTGATGAATTCTACAAGGTGGTGTAGTTAGGTTCTCAGTTCAGAATATATCATCTTATTCGACAGGGTCCTTTGGGGAGTGAACAATTATGATAAATTGTTTCTCCGATTGCTGAATTATTTGATGCTGATAATTCATTTAGATATGATTGATAATTTTCAATTAGGTCGATTGGTGCAGACCAGAGCAATAGCTGTTCAGAGGTGACGTTGTTTTTCAAGATTAAGAAAAGTGAATTGGGAAAAAGAATTCACTTCACCGATGGGAATATTCGGTATTAATTCATTCAGATAAAAATAAATGCGTTGATATTCTCGTACTTGTAACACGGGATCAATATGTACATGTGTAAAGCGTAAACAACTGTAACCGATTGTATAATCATAATTGTTGGCTGAATCGATCTCATTCGTATAAGAAAGATTCAGGGTGTGGTTCAGCACAAATGCACCCAATGAGAAAAATAAAATAGTAATGAAGTTGTTGAAACAACATATTTTATCGCTAATGGAAAAGGTTCTTTTAAATAAAACTCAGAGTATTTATATGAACTTAGGTACTTATCTAATAAATACTCGAAGATGTTATAAACCTTTTGGAAAATACAGGATAAAAAAGAGACGGATGCTTGATTTTAGTTGACGTCATTTATAAAATTAGTGACATATGTATCTTCCTGATGTTGGTTTTATAAACTGTTACAGAATTTACGTGTGAAAATGTTGATCTCTGATATATGTAGGATATCTTGGACATGGATTCGCACACGAGTTTATTCCAACTCTAATCACATTCGTTCCAAATAGAACTCGATCAGTTCTATCTATTCCAAAAAAATATTCCCGGAAATATCCTTCCTTACCCACAAAAAATGCAAAAAATCGTACAAAAGCTTAAAAAACATGAAAATTTAGAAAAAGCCAGCACGGATTCGTTTCTTCACTTCCAACTACCACTCCAATCAGGGTTGCCATTTCTTCCGATTTTCCCCGCGTTTTCATACAACGTTCGGATTAAATGATCGAAAGGCTAAAATACGATATCATGTCTTTACCATAAAAATTTTATTAGTAGTTTACATTTCCTACTATTGCCATCACAATTTTCATTCGATTTGGACATCTAGCAACACAAGAACTAAAGTTTCACCCCTTATGAAGGCTATCATTTTAGCTACTATTGATGGAGTGAAAACGCCGCTGGTTGTAGTATTAATAGTCAACGATACTGACCATTGAAGACAGTACTTGAAATCTCATTATTATCGAAAATTATAAAGAGTTTGCTTTTTCGCTTTTTGAGAGAAAATTTCCGCTTCTCAGTCATCATGAAATGGCAACCCTGGCTCCGACACTTGTTCCAGATACAGCTCGGTGAGCTCTATCGATTCCAATCATCTAAAGTTTTCACCCACCCACCTCACACCCTCACCCGCCCCTCAAATGAGAACAAAATTGGTTTTCTATAAACGGAAAAACAATATAAGCTGTAAGTCATTTCTGAACTTTCGGGACGTCCTCTATAACACGTTGTTTTGTGGTGCTAACTCCATTCTCTGAGCTCCACATTTATATAAGCGTTTACTCATGCAGCACCTCTCTATAATGAACGCGAACGGTCCTGCTAGTGCTCACTATAGAGAGGTTTTACTCTATATATAGAGCTCACTAGTGATTACAGCTGCCGATGAAACTTATGTATGATTCATCGGATCGAATGTTGCAATGTTAGTTTTATGAATCACAGATACGTGTGTATAAAAGAACAAATATTGTAAAAACACGTGAAAGCAGTAGTAAAGAACAATGTGCATTGGTTTTGGACGTTCTTTATTTCGACAAATTCGACAACGATATTTTTCTTTTCCAAAGAATGAACCAAAGAATCGCGATGACTTATCTACTATTCCACTTGTCGAACAATCTTATTTATCCGTCTCAAGACATCCGGAAATCAGGTATCGACCGTTGCCCGATCCATTATCTCTTTATGTTCCAGTGAAATCGCTATCTAAGGGAACTATTGATTCTATTGTATCAGCAAGTCATCGATCGGACAGAAGTGATTGGAATTTTAGTCGACGTACTCTTCTCGCGTTTTTACTTGCAATTCACAATCAGTTGAGAATCATCGAAGAAAATAAAGATTTTCAAAGCAAATTTGATGAAAAGACAATTCAACGCGCATCAGAAGTTCGAAAATGGCTGGGAAGAAAGAATCAGTCTGGAGATATCGAGGAAATTCGATGGGATCACTTAGAAACTAATTATAAGAAGATGTCTCGTGAGATAGATAATGGAATGGCACAATGTTTCCACGTTGATATTAAGGATGTCGAGCCTTATTATGAATTAACTATTCCCGGTGTAAGTGTTTCCATGTCTTTCCTGCAGTTTTATTACTCGATTTTACTTTTGACTTCAACTGATTTCTATAGTTACACGCTGACATCAATCGATCACGTGAATATATGAAACAGTTTCGTAGTTACGGTTGGAATCCGAAAGATTTGAAATTATATTGGACTCTCCAACAACTAGAAGATCTTTGTCCAAAAAATGAAGTCAAAACAGAGAATGAACAAACTAACCGAATCAATGCACTCCTTTGTGATCCATCTGATGTAGATACTATGGAAGCTTTGCGTCGACATCCTGTATCACAGCGAAATCATACCTGTAAATTAGAATATATCAACAAAAGTATTGAAAAGGCCGTTTTTGATGTGCCTGAACAGGCACAATTGATTATTCTTACCTTTGCTGTAAATGATGTATTTTCTCTTTAACTTATTCATGATCTTTATGTAAATATTTTAGAATGAACGATCTCCTGGAGGAGGATATTTATTCCATGCGCGTGAGTTAGATTTATACATTCAAAAAAAAAAGAAAAACATTCATTTTCATCTAGAAGCGCAGGAAGAAATTCTTCTCTACAATTCTGATGGTTACCGATCATTACTTGATTTGAAATATGGTCGCATGGGTGGTGGATATGCAATACCAGAATTTGGAGCTGTGTATACTCGTGATATACGAGTTTTTGACAAGAAATCCAAGAAAATTCGCAAAGCAGATATGTTAGTTTCAGCATGTTATTGTCTCACAGAAACACCACAACTGTATGACCACCCTGCAGATCCTGTTGAAGTAATGTATCATCATCAGCTTTGAATATGATCTAAATTCACTTTGATTGGCATAGATATTCGCAAACACTGTGGAAAAATTCCGTGCATTCATCGCTGCCGCTGTGGCTAATACGATAGGTGATGGATCGAATACATATCTTTTACTAGGTCCTATAGGTACAGGTGCTTTTGGAAATGATACGAGAGATATCGGATATGCTTTTCATAAAGTGCTCTCGTCAAAAATGATGGGATCAACAGGTCCAATACGAAATGCTTTTGCAAATATCTGGTTCGTATCAACGGATAAACGGAAGAATGAAGAATTCAAAGAAATTTTTAATGAAGAACATATGTAATCGAAGAAAGAAGCGGAAAAATCTCGCTCGATCGATGTCAAACAAAAAGTACGGATGTGTGTCTCTACTTGAATACACTTACATTTCCACAGAAGATTTGTAAAAGGCATTAACAAAACGTTATTTCTTTCTTGGATTCTCTCTTTTTCTCTCGTATGTACATATTCGTGTTTCGCTTGATATAAACAGGAGAAATAAACCGAAGTGACTCTCGAAGAGAGCCACCTAACAAACGCATAATTGGAGAAGAGATGAGTCGTTGTTTTAGCGCATTAAATGCCATGATATAGTCGTCATTCCAGGGTAAAGAAGAACGAAGTGTGGTTGATTGAGTCGTCCGTAGTAGTTTGATTAAAGGTTCAGCAATTTTAGCGTAATTCTCTATAAAGTGTCGGTAATAACCAGTGAGACCAAGGAATGCTTGTACTTCTTTGGTTTTCGTGGGTTGGGTGAATTTAGTCATCGTAGATATCAGATCCGGATCAGGTTTGATACCACCCGGTGTGATGATATGTCCAAGATACTTCATTTTTGGTCGACAAAAATTGCATTTCGAAGATTTAAGTGTTATGTTAGCATCAGCTAAAGCGAGGAAAACTTTTTTAAGATCTTGGAGGTGCTGTTCGAAAGTACGGGAGTAGACAATGATATCATCTAAGTATACTAGGCAAAATTGTCACTTAAGTCCTCCTAGAACAATGACCATCAGCCGTTGGAATGTGGCTGGTGCATTAGTTAGACCGAAAGGGATGATCATACATTCGAATAGTCCTTTTTCGGTAACGAATGGTATAAGGGGTTTGCTTTCTTTGTCCATTTCTACCTGTCGGTAGTCAGAACGAAGATCCAGAGTCGAAGGAAATTGAACATGCTAAAGAGTGTCCAAGGTGTGGTCGATTCGCGGAAGTAGGTATACATCCCGTATGGTAGTTTCATTTAATTTTCGATATTCAATGCAAAAACGCACGGTGCCATCTTTTTTCGGCGCTAAAACTACCGGCGATGCCCATGGGCTTTTCTAGGGAACGACAACACTGTTATGTAACATTTCGTTAATTTAATCTTCAATTACTTTACGACGAGCCGCTGCATAGCGGTATGGCGCAGAATTGCGTGGTTTATTCCCCGGTTCTATGTCTATGTGATGTTGTAGTATATTGGTCCGAACCGGGTTTGGTAGTAAAGACATGTAGAAATGCTTGGATTAACGCTGTGAACTCTTGAAGTTGATCGCGAATTAAAATTGATCCGGTAGTGTCGATGAGTGTTGGCGAGATTTGCTCGTTTGTATGAGATATGTCATTGAGTTGTGACGGGAACGGTGAAATTGGTGCCTTGTAATACAATTTTACCAAAATAAATAGTAAAAGTTATTTATTTATTTTTGCTTCTTTTGCGGATGTGACACGATTTGTAAGTGTCAGTATCCATTCATACATATTACTAATATCTTTTGTTGATCTTGCGTCCTCCTTTCTCCCCTTTTTCCTTTCAACCAGTGTACTGTTAAGACACTAGAAGTCGTCAGGATATGCAAATAAAAGAAAACAGATGACATCATGTAATAAGATCTGATTTCATGGATGAACAGACGATATATGACGTCACGCGTATATGTATAATCAGAACGAAAGAGGATAAGTGCATATAGTGACATCATGTAAAGGTGATCACAGTTGACGTCTTTATATAATATTCCATTGAAAATGGTAAAAATTACTGTTTCATTTATTAGGCTGGTAAGAAAGTTTTTGCCTTTTTTCTTTATCAACAAGAACTAGTTCTCATCTATATATGCACCATCTGTTTCTATAACTTGACGCCAACAATCTGGAATACAAAGGTTCCCCTGCTCATAGAAGTCCGAGGACTTCCAATCGAAAAAAATAGCGAGAGCGATTTTTAGGTCATTCTCGTCGTCGAACTTTTTCTCGCTCAAGTAATTAGACAGAGAGCGAAATAAATGATAGTCAGTGGGGTATGGTAATCCAACCGAGCTGCAATAATTTTTCACGAGCCAACTTTGCCACATGTGATCTCGCATTGTTGTGGAGGAAGTAAATTCGATCTTGTTTTCCTTTTGAGTTTTTGGACAGCACGATCCAGTTGTTCACAATAGAGATCAGCTGTGATTGTGTAACCGTTAGGAAGAAGTTCCCAATAGATGATTCCTCACATGCCCCACCAGACACTCAACATCACTTTTTTGGGATGCTTGTCCATTCTAGGTATTGCCACTCCAGTTTCACCACTGCTAAGTCATTGTCGTCCGCGTGTATGGTTAACATAGAGCACTAATTTCTCATCTCCAGTGACAAGATGTGATTAAATCCATACACGTATCCACCCTTGACTGAAGCTGATACGGCGATAATCCGTGTGGAATCCATAACCCATATTTCTAGCTCTTGCCAAGATCAGGCAAATGTTTTTCTACCATGATATGGGAGCACCCGAGCAGTGCTGCTAAAGCATGTATCGTCAGTCGCGGATCTTGTTCGATCTGGTGCTTCACTTGCTTTGTGTCCCTATCGAAATTCATGGAGCAAAATGATTCTAATCTCTCTATGAGGGGTATCGGTATTTTCGAACGTCATTCACTCTCCCTATATATTCTTAGTACCAAAGCTTCGCGAATTTTCTAGAAGATCTTATGACCATTTCCAAAAAAACGCAAGAATTCTCTTACCAACCCAATATATCGATTCTTCTCCACTCTTTTTCCGTATAGAATTAAGTTCTGTAGCTATGACTTCTATTGGATGTATAATTTCTTCAATATTGTATGATATAAAAGCTGTTATATCACCTGTATTCTTCACTTTTTTGCACTGCGACAACTTTTTCTTCGTGATCAGTACTATTACAATTCTTATTTTCTACCGATTGAAAGGTTCGATTGGCTGGATATGTTATTTAATCATCGCTACAAGATAATATTGACAGTAAATTTTCATCAATAAAGTTCTGCTTATCACTTATACTCTTCAGTTTCGGCCGTACATGCTCTACATTCTTCTTCAATATCATCTATATCGGAATCATCGAGAATTTCAGCGTATTTGTCTAAATCATCATCTTGCTCAAGAATATTTTCCTTGTTATGTGCCATTTTTATTATTCAAATACTAACGACTTACTTTTATCTCCTTTATAAAATCCTAGTTTTTCAAATTTAGTTTGCTCATTACATGTGGTTCTTTTTTCAATACCAAGTTCTTATCTGATCTTATGTCTCTAGATAACGAGGATCGATTCGAAACGCAAGAAAATGTCGGGATTGAACGGGTTAAGAGAAAATCTCACACACATGCTTCAGTAAGTATACACCAATATTTTTATTGCTACTCAAACTTGTGTGGCTTTTTGAATATGTATATATATATATATATTTATAAAATCTTTTATTTATTAGTTTTCCATTGACAAAAGAAAATCTTTCACAAACAACAAAAAATATCCATAGATCATTTTATTATAAGACAATTATCAATCATCAATATAAAACTTTTTCACTGTATGATTGAAAGTGTTGACGATGTATAGATTTCCTTGTCGATCTAATGATATATCGTCGAGAAGACACATACCATCTGAGTTTTCTACACAACTAAGAAGTTCAACAATAATACTACCCACTTGAGATCCATTTAGCCAACGCATCACTCGATAATTGGAAGGGTCAACCACATAAACATTACCCAAATGATCGACAATCAATCCTTTGGGATAAACTAATTGATTGAAACTATTACCCATACCATGCCCACCAGCAACTACAATTCCTTGTTTTGCACCTTTTAACCATTTCATCACACGATGGTTCTTTCTATCCGATACATAAATTGAATAATCTTGATCTACTACGAGATTACCAGGAGACGAGAGTTGATTCAAATAATCTCCTTCTCCATTTTTACCAATTACAACTACTCCCTGTTTTGCTCCTTGTTGAAATCGTATTATTTTATTATTTCTCCATTCACTAATATAAAGTTCTCCATTATTATCTATAGCTAAACCATCACAGAAGATATTTGAGACCAGTATTTGCGGGTTTTGTGGATATGTAAGAGACCATTCTACCACTCGATTATTACCTGCATCACAAATAATGAGTGAGTTATTCTTTTTATCAATAACCACCTCTATCGGCAAGCGTAACTGATCTATTCTATTTCCATAAGGGTTTCCACCTGCAACAACCTCGCCATTCTTTGCATCTGGAATCCATCTAACAATACGATGATTGTTTTCATCAGCAATATATACCGATCCATCATCATCAATATAGATCCCTTTAGGATTGTCAAGTTGATCTAATTCGTTACCTTTGCCACGGTCTCCCACGAGGGTAATTCCATTTTGTTTCCATTTGGTATTAGTATTAACTAATATAGATGAAAGAAATTAATTAATCAAGTGATAGTCATTAATTTAAAGTTTCGCTTAGTGTTTCCCTTGGAAAAAGTCACCGAAATTGTGAACATTCAAGAGAAAAGATCTTCTTCTCTTAGAATCAATTACAGATAAATAAGTCATCTTTCAAAAAGAATTATTATTTTTTTCGAGAAATATATACCTCTTCCTGTTGTGGTTGTTGTTGTTGTTGTTGTCGTTGTTGTTGTTGTCATTGTAGAAGAGGTTTTTTTCTGCGAATTCAGCGTTCTTTTTGTAAAGATTGTTTTGGCAATAGCTACTCCTGATAGAATCAAAATAGCAAAAATAATAAGACATATAACCCAAATAGATTTTTTGCTTCGATAATGGGTACATCTAAAATAATTTTAAAAAAATCATTTATATCGTATTCACGTTACACACGCACAATACTCTAGATTGAATATTTGTTTTTTTTATTGTAATAGAATCAACTGTTTCTAACTAAAATAATAATCAAGATTTAATTTTTAATTAGTTTTTCTTAAAACATTACGTGATCGATATTTATCTTGTTGTGTACCATACTGGAATGTTGATTGAAATTGAAGACAATTAAAAAATGTTGACAATCTAAAAGTTACTAGGCTTGGAGAAGAGATCAAGAAAGAAATATGTTTCAGTCCGAAATATTTCTGACAATAAATAAGGATTAAAGTGAATATATCATAGTATTCTAGACTTTTATTCAATAGAGATTAGTTCGATTGTTCGTAATTGTATTATATTTTGGGTTTCTTTCTGATTGAAAGTCATTCGTCTTAGAAGGAATGGTAAATTGTTTTGATATTATCACAAAACTGTTCATGATACAGAGACACTATAATACACAATAGTGCGGGAAATTCGCATTGGCGTATGTGCAATTCTTTATTAAAATTTTTATCTTTGAAATGTGCCATTTAATGTTAAAACTAGTCTTTTGAAACTTAAAAACTAATTATACTACACTTATAAAACTATAATGGATTCTGTGCTGTTAATTAATCGTGATATATATATATATACATATGTAGAATAATCTGTTTAAAATGTTTTACAACTATTAAAACTATTTTTAAAAAATAAATAATTATCTGCTTACTCGTTTTCGAATATCTTTCAAATCTTTTAAATGATTTTCGTCAGTATTTATTTCAACGGTCTACAATTTTCTAGAATAATTTTTCTCTTGGGTTTTTACGCATTAAATCATCTCTCCATATCGTTCAATTTTACAAAATAAAAAAATCATTATAATTTCATCTATGTAGAATACCATCTGGCTTCTATTAATTTCTCTTTCTACTTATTATCACAAATAGAATGAAAGCGTGAAATTTACATTAGTTTCAAGATCAAATACATAGAAGAGAGAAAGATTTATTCAAGCTTTTTCGAAAGAAGGTAGAAACAACCTATTTTAAATAATATATATCATGATTATGATTAAAAAAGCATTGAAAACCAACATTCCGTAAGGAAATACAAGTTTGTGGAAAGATAAAAGTTTATAGATAAAAAGCAAGCATTTTATGTAAATATTCCTTCGAATAATATTTGAAATATTCATTTGGACTTTCAACACATATTTTCTAAATTTAATTTGGATGAATAACTGAAAATATTTGTTCAACTTAGGTCAATGCTATGTGCAAGGTTTTTTAGAACAGGAAGTTTCACTTTTATGTGCCGAAATCATAGTTGAAAGAAAATCATAGGATAGACTAGTGGAAACTTTTTCTCAGTAGGTATTGCTCCCCGAATATTTTCCTCTGAACACATAATTGATCTAGCGATAGAACAATTCGTCGCGCATGTACATTATAATAAATTTATATCGGAAAATGATCTATTTTTGATTAACACAGCTACATATCTAATTTAATTAATACAAAAACTGCATTATCGTCAGCAATCCCTTAGGATAATGTGAAGTGCAATGTGGGATTCTGGTGAAATTTCCAAGCAAAATCTGAAGAAATTTGAGAAAACATAAGATGAGATGTTATGAAAGTACCAAAAAGTAAAATAGATTTAAAACTCTGAAAAGAACATGCTCAAAAGCCTTCAAAGATAAAAGATTACTTTATCGGACATCAAACAGAGTTCCATTCCCTTTGGCCTTTGAAATGGTTTTTCGATATCATAGATTAAATAGAAGTTCAAGTAGTCTTCGTCTCTGAGAAAAAATCCCTGGCTATGATCATGATTTTTGCGCTAGATCACTTTCTAAATATTTATTTCTCTATTTTTAAAATATGTTGATCCTTTGTTAATGGGAATTCAGAAGATTTTCTTGTGAAATCGAGATCGACTTCAATTCGTGACCTCTTCGATACGACATATATATGTATACTAGAGAGAGTACCTGCTGCGAATAAGAAATATCTATGTCGAACATCTCACGTGTTGAAGAGCTATAACAGATAGAAAATCAGTATAATTCAAATTTCTACTCTTCCACTCCTTATTTTCCCGCCGTGCATCGCGTAAAATGGCAGTTTTGGCTATATCTTTTTATGCAACAGAATTACCGAAGCTAATTTCTGCCTCAGAATTTATGAAAATTTCCTCTTTGTCTGATATTCATTTTCCACTCCAGCTATTCATTCATCGACCTCTTTCTCACTCACACGTCATTTCATACCTTATATCCTTCGAATTCATCCACCCTCAACCTTTATCTTAACCTTTTGAGATCATATAACGTTATTGGTGAGTTTCGCAGATTATCTGTAGCATTCACCGAATTATCATGAGCGTAGAGAACACGTGGATTGTTGTCTTTGAGCGCTCAGACGGCCTTCGGCCGCCTTCGATATTGATTTCACCCATTTTTGAAATCCTGCAATCCTATTGGTCAGTTTCATAGATTGCCTGTAGCAAACGGCTGGTTCCTTTGTTCTCGAGGAGAAGTAGGCGTCGACCTTCCTCTGGGCTCATGGAAGCATCGTCGAAAGTTTCACGCCGATGGCTATTATGGGGACTGAATGCATAGCGCACAAACAAACAAATAGGCTTTCTTCTTTATATATACAACATAGATTTTTGACTAGAATACATTATTAAAATAAAACACATAGTCTCATTGAAATGTTTGTTTTTCTAAGATAATCAAATTTGATGTAATTGTAAATATTATTCGTCGGGAGTAATTGTATTTCTTCGATATTTATTTCGAATTTCAAATATTATTTTGATTATAAGTGGAACAATAAATTGGAGCGCATTGATTATAAAATGATGAATAAAATGTCATACTTTTCCATTCTTCAACAAATAATTCATATTGACATGCATATCCGACAAGATTAGCAGAAATATTTGCTCCTATGCGTTGCAATTCTCCATTCGATAGATCGATGGAATAGAGACGACCTTGAGTATCGTTCATTTGACTCTTTGGTGATGCTAATGATAAAGTTCGAAAAAGAATTCGTTTTCTGTCATTAGATAATTGCAAATCTTCCTCAATTGCTTGATTGTCGGTTAATTTAGTTAATGAAGATGAGTTTTGGAGATCGAGAGAATACATTTCAAATCTTCGATGAAATTTAACACGCTTGATGCTGATGTAAGGACGAGTTTTGTCTAACAATGGAACATAAAGCATTTCATTGATGAAAAGTGCGAGAGAATTGTTTTCCTTGAGATTGATTTCATAAATTTCGGTTGATGGATGAAGATTTTCTGTAATTAACTGTTTTTCTCTCGCTTCGGTACGATAAAGCCATAAATTATGTAAATAAGTAATTACTCATCAGTTGGAGAGAAACTTTGGAATGGATATGTTGTATAATAAAAAAATTCATCGAATGTGATTTGCGAAAAGCATAGAGCAAACTCATGTCGACCGCTGATTGTTATTTTATCGTGTGACCGGTGATACCAGATAAACTTTCAGTAGGATTAGGACACAGCAAATATTCTTTTTCGAATACTTGAACAAAGAATGCGTTCAGAATTATGTAATTAAAGTCAAATTCATCTAGACAACGTACTGCAGCATCTTCTCTTCTCCTATATGACGTGTATATTTGTGACGTGATAAACAAAATACAAACCAATAATTTATGCAATAAGTTAAGGTGGAAATGAGTAAAGAAGCATTGTGTGAAGATCTATTCTTGTCTAACTGCATGCCCATTTCATACGAACTATCAACATATAAATACAATGGAGAGCATCTTCTCCTTCGTATCATTCGACAAATATCATCATGCAATGTCTCATCCATTTCTTGATGCAGGACTAGGTGCCTTTGCCGGTTATGAAATTGGAAATTACTTTGGTGATGGATACTGGTAGAAAGAAACTGTTTTCTAATTATTTTGTAATATAATATTCGTAATAAATAAATTGGTGAACATACAGAAATAAATGAACTTGTCAGCAAGAACGAATATCGAGTACTTCTATTTTTATCGGATGTACAGAAAAATAATGATGTATGCGCATACGTGAAAGAAGAAAAACACATTTCAAGTTTTGATTTCTTTTTATGACGTATCACGAAAAAGCAAAAATATCTTCAGGTCTTATCTATATGTACATCTTTGCTCATTATTTTTTCTCTTGACGTCAATTTTCTATACTACTCAGTACAAAAAAAGGAATGTATAAATACTTCAAATATTCACACGATTTACTACTCAATTGTCAGCAAGCAAATGTCGTCCAACAACCAACAAGCTCCACTTCCTCGTATGTAGTCACCAAAGAGAGAGACATGAACGTAACAATATGCTTTCATTTTCTAGCTGCAAATTTCGGCAGTGAACAATGGGCCACTGATCCATTTAATCTTGCTCCATCCGCAGCTGCTAACTCAGGTATTAATGGTTCTGGAAACGGACAATCATCATCATATAAGGAACAAATTTATACTCTACCCGGTGGTACTATGACTTACCAAGAATTTAGCGGTTAATCAACAGATTCATTGAATGCTTCAAAGTTTAAGAAAAAAAGGCTAAAAAAAGCACGATTGTTTTTTTTCTCATTAGATGTACCATTTTTTAATAAAATAAACGAAATCGATGTCTTTTCCCCTTCATTTCTTTTTTCTTTATTGCATCGTGTAAATAACAAGTGTAGTATACACATGTTTTTACCTTTTTTCAAGGTCGCATATTTTCTCGTTCTCTGCGAGATAGTCAAATCGACAAGTTTATGTTTCAATATTAATGTCTGATTTGGTTAAATTGAAGAAATTTTCGATAGACCCATTAAGTTTCTCTAAATAGAATCAAACTTCAAGAAAAAATTTCCAAAGAAAGTCACTGAAATCTTACTCATAAACTTGGGTTGGACTTGTCGAAAGATAAATATATAATAAACTATCAAACTAAGAAGTAAAATGATAGATGCAATGAGAAAACCGATGTTCGGATAGGAGATAACGGGTGCGATGACAAGATAAATACATATCAGTATAATAAATATAACCAGAGTTATAGGAACCTAAAAGATTTGGTAATTTTTTCCGAATAAAATTGAACGAAATATACCTTAATCAACCGAAGAACATCACGTTTTGTGAATTTGCACCAAAGTGTAGCGACAAATGTTAATCCGCAGAAAAGCCAAGACACAAAACTGAAATAACTGATCAGACCTTCAATATCACTTGGAATGCAATAAATTATTGCCAGAATCGTCTTCAGAAAACAATCAAATGAATCGAATTCATTCAAAAAACAGACAAGCCTGAAATATAATACCAGGCAACGGTGTTAATCGCTGTTTTTGTATATACGAAAATATTTCTGGCAAATACCCATAACATGCACTAACCATACAATACCGAGCACTCGTATAAGTCAATCCATTTGCACTACCTAATGCACTCAAGGCTATCAATACTGGTAATACACGAGCAACTGACCCTAATACCACTTCGCCCCATGTCTGAAAAGATACTCATTCAGACGAAATCATAGAAACTCTTTCTAACAAAATAATACAAGTATATACCATAGCAACAGCGTCTGAACTGAGCAATGCAGATTTCGTCATTACTGTAAAATACGATATATTGGTAAGAACATACAGAACGATCACTATTGGCAAAGCTACAACAATTGATAACCATAAATTTCTATCGGATATATAGAATTAATTAGACATAATGATTAGAGTTTGTAGGTACTTTTTAGGATTTTTCAGTTCTTCTGTTACTGTCGTTAAGCTACCCCATCCACTATAAGCCCAAAGTCCTGAATAGAAGGCAAGGGCAATTCTTAACGGTTTGTTTGTTGTACCTACTCGATTGTGAAAACAAATCATTTCGAAGAGAAGGCATTTCATTTACCATGGAAAGAATGTTTCAAATTTTCTGTATGTCCTAATGAAGAGAAGACCGATCTTTTATTTTATCTCAATCAAAACAAACCTTGTCCAATTCGTACAAGACCAGCCGTCACAATAACCAAGATTGTCACTACTTTGGACAGAGTAAACACTATGTTTAGACGATTAGCTGTTGTAGCACTGAACGCATTGACATTGGCGAGAACGACTAAAAATTAATAGGTTTAGAAAAGAACAAAAATGAAGACTGAAACAAACCAATAGCAAAAATAGCTGTCATTTTTACTAATTCAACAGGTGGACCACAATCTAAATGCATAAGATCATAATTCATATATCCCTTTTTTTCTATTTACTATCCATAATTCCCGAAAGAAAGTACGTTGAAAATGTTAGTGTGAGAATAGCAGCGGTTGATGGTAAAATAATAAATGTATTTGCCCAACTGAAAACAAAGGCAAGTACATCACCCGTTCGGGCATGAACTGATCCAATTCCTATATTACAGATCGATCGATCGATCAACAGTTCGATAGTCGATTGTACAATTACCTTCTTTCATGTAGGCTAATTCAGCACCACTCAGCGGTATTACTGTTCCGATTTCAGCATAACATAATGCACCTAGAACAAATGAATTCAATGATAAACTTGATCTCTTGGAATCGAAATAGTACTGAGTAGAGCCACGAATCCACATATAATCCATATTACGAGACATAAACCTACTGATTGTGTCCCTCTTAGTACACCTTTTGGTGAGATGAATATCCCAGAACCTACATGTAACGCATATTTTCAACGAAGACAAAAATCATATTCTCTCGATTTACCAATGATCATGCCAATAATGAAAGTAATACCAGAAAATAGGCCAATGTGCCGTTTCAATGTTATCTTTTCATTCAATGGTATCGCATTTTTTTTCTCTACTCTTTCGTCGTTCGTAAGTAGATTTTGATTCAACACGATTCATCTATGACTTTAACGGATAAATACAAGTGAGTAATAAAAAAAAGTAAAAATAAATTCTCTTTATACGTGTCATATGTGGATTAATATATTGAAGTCATAAACATGTCAAATAGAATTTTCTATTCTGCTGTTTTGTTGATTCAGTGGAAGGAAAAGAGAAAAATGGATATTTTATTTCGAAAGCGTCCGCATTCTTTTCCTTCGCCCTCATTAAACGAAATAAAAGAAAGTTATAGAAATAATAAGAGATATTATTTAAAAAAAATAACTATTGAATTTATCGACTAAAACCAAGTTTTTCATCGCTCTTTTTCAAGTACAACTTTTCCGTTGCATATAATACTGTAAAAAAACATAGGTTCTTTCCATTTTGTGTTGTCAGTAGAGTTTTTTGGAAGAGAACAGGCTACGAATAACACCATAATACATATTAACGTTTCATCCTGGTCGATTCTTCCAAAGTGAATATCTTCATTAGATTACAATTGCCTTATAAACATTCTCGTTATTTTAATGGGCGCAATAGGTGTTATGGTGATGGTCATCGTAGCGGCAACTCTGATAGACAATTGAATGTTTCGTCTGGAACATCTATTGATTGAAAACTACGGATTAACGCTTGGAAATCGTTTCCAATTCTCAGAAACAATGCTCCACACTTCGAATAGTTTTCTTTGCACTGAGATTTCATTTCTATGCTCAGAAGTCGAAAATTTGACGAAAAAAGATGAACCTTTTCAGTTCATTTGTTTTTCGTTGAAATATTTCAAACAAAAAACTGCATTTTCAATGTGTCAGCATTTGTGTGATTTTGTTTTGAATTTTCGTCATTGAAAAGTGTCAGTAATATGCAACTTGTCCTTTGGGAATCTACGAAGAATTCGTGGATTTTTCAAAGATATGATGTATATTTTGAAAACAAAGAATATCTTTGAAAGTCATTTCATTTCATCAGACGTTTTTACACATTTTTCGCAACAAAATCTCCACCAGGAAGGAATACAAAGAACTTCTTCTCCAATCAACAACATAAAGATTTATTTCGCCAGCAAATGATAAATTACGAGGACAGAAACATCAGCCTTGAACACGAGAATTAGATCTCATATTTTAAATACAAGCAAAACGAAAAGAACTTTGCAAAAGAGTTATTTGAATAAACGCAGCGAGTGAAAGCTGTCACATTAAATTTTCCATCTGGTGTTAGTTGAACAATTCTTTTGTTGTACTAAAAAGAATTTGACCAAACAATGTCCATCTACTTAATCATATCACCGTCATTACTAAATAAAAGAAAAGTATCTTCAAAAGATTTAATAATAATAGATCTCAACTATTTTCTTATATTAATAAGATTGATTGGTTTCGAATCATCGTCATTTAATTTGTAAACGGAATACTAATATCAGCACATTCAGATTTTCTTTGATTCTATTCCAACGACAAAATATTTCGATCTATTCGATATCCAATGATCTTAAGAGTGTGTTAGCGCGAAATAATGGCTTGAAATTTGTTGATAGGTGTAACTGAGAACTAAGCAATTCTGTCTTGTGTTGACAATTACATTATCGAAATAAAATGCGCAGATAGTGCACTAAACAATCTTTCCTATGACGTGTGTGCGTATGACGTCAAATAGAACGCATATCAATATTTCTAGCGACTCAGAACACGAATGAATCGATGGGCGTAATAAAACGATTTATTTTTATCTATCTATGGGCGAGTGATTTACCTATACACCCATTTCATACAAACAACCAACATATAAATACAACGAAGCACATATCTTTTTTTCATATCATTTTCATTTCATTTCGACGATTATATAAGAACAAACGCTGATACAATGTCTCATCCATTTCTTGATGCAGGATTAGGTGCTCTCGGTGGTTATGAGATCGGCCGTCACACTGGTATTGGCAATCCACTCATCGATGCTGGACTAGGTGCCTTCGCTGGCTATGAAATTGGAAATCAATTTGGTGGTGGATATGGCGGAGGGTTTGGTAATGGTGGTTTTGGCGGAGGTTTTGGTACCCCATATGGGTATGGTGGATACTGGTAGAACGAAACTGTTTCCTAATTATTTTGTAATATAATACTTGAAATAAATATAACTAATTATATTTACCCAAGATTGAATACTTTGGGAATTGTGTAGTTATCTCTTACGAGGGAATCACCCGATGTGCCAACAAGCTTTATGGTTCGGAGTGTGATGAGTAGGTAGGGCACACCTAGGCATGATATATCCTAAGTTGGTTCGTGCGCAAGCTGGTTTTACCAAAAGTTACCAATTTTTCAAGGTACAAGCGATAATTAAACCGAATAACGGAATTGTTCCAAGAACTTCCAGCTTCGTCATCACTTATGTATGTTCAGGAAAATGAAATTGCTGATCTATTGTTTAATGTATTCGAGTTCATATGGGTAAGCACGTCATACAATGAAGAAAATGAAATTGAGGAATGCGAGGGAGATATGGATTATGAAGCAAAAGACGAAGAAAATCCTGTGTTTGAATCATTTTCTTTGTCATACATGAAGCGAGCGCTTGATTATTATGATGCAATTAATCCAAAAACAGGAAAACGATCTCATACATGAAGAAATGTTTGGAACAAATTTAGAAGAATCAAAGATCAATCATATATTCCCGCTTCCGAGATTATATTGAGAAAGGGGGAACAAAGAAACAAAAGTTAGAATCAGTAGACCCCTACGTTTATAACAACTTCGAGCGTGCCCGGGATCTTCTCTGTGCAGTACATGATATTGAGTTAAAAAGATGGGCTGTACGAAAAGCAAGAATCATATCATTGCATGGTTTCGTGGCGTCAGATCATTGGATCTTGAATTTTAAACGCAAACACAATATTTGCTCGAGAAAAAGTATAAAGGTTAAGGAATAAATCATACCAACCATACGAAAGTTTGATATGATAAGTTGATCTGTAAATCGCTTCTTTTCTAAGTAGTAACAAAGCGTGAGATCGTCAATGAAGCTGAAATTCAAAAATCAGCTGATCAATTTGTTTCTGAAGTTAAATCATTGTTACCTTATTATAATGAAGATTTCGTATTGAATACAGATCAAGCAGTACTTGAGGGTGAGTTTCCCTCAGCTCGAACTCTCTCATATCAAGGAGAAAAGACGACACTTACCACCGTACGTTCAGTAAATGCAACTACTCATAGCTATACGGTTCGACCAAAGATCACCATGAGTAGTAAGATCTTCGACCTTGTTTATATATGTCTCAAAGAAGTAAATGGTCGAATGGGCGATAATATTAAAGGAAATCTTCCGCAGTTGAAGAATGTTGTTGTTACCTGCAGCGCATCAAGTAAATTAACTATCTCATTAGTTGAATATTGGCGTAATGAGTGCCTTATCCCATCACTGACATCACAGCCTGTATTACTTCTTTCTGATAGTTGGCCTGGACAGGCATATGGAAAATGATCGTTCGTAGGGTTCACGAGCGTGTTCTTCTTGATGAAATAGATATTCATCTTGCACAAAGAAATAATATAATTCGCTTACAATCGATTATTCATAATCAACTTTCCTCTCCAGTTTTCGTTTCTATGATACGATATGCATGGTTCAAAAGTGAATACACTGATGTTGATCCTAGACCATTTCAATCAGTTACACAAGTATGCTTCAAATTCAAACAAGATTACTGTGGCGTACATTCATGTGATCAGTATGTATTCATTCGACGTAGTCACTGTAGCAAAATATTTTGTTTTCAGCACTTTTTCGTTAATTTTCATATCCATGATATCCGACTAATCTAAGCGAGTGTTCTGTTTTCATTGTTATTCCATTATGCTTGTTTTTTGCCATAGCAATCATGCATACATTCAAGAAAAGTTTATATTCAAAAATGTTGAAAAAAAGACCAAGCTTTAGTTTTCAACGGCAAGTAATTAATTAATTCCAGCACAATCCGTAGCATTTTTCAAACCAACATTTTCTAATTAGTTGGTAAAGTAAAATCGCGACACTGAAATCATCTCGATTTCAAAGAAACGAACCGGATCCATGTCTGATAATGTAAATAAAAAGTTTTTAAACTGCACTCATTTTCTTATACAGAAAAATTTGAATTTTCGGTAAAACTGTAAATATCGCTTGTAACTCGAAAAATCGATAACTTTTGCTAAAAGCAACTTACGCACAAACCAACTTAGAATATATCATACCTAGGTGTGCCCTACCTACCCATCACACCCCGAGCCATAAAGCTTTTTGGCACCTCGGGTGCTTCCCTCGTCAGAAAGCACCAATATGAGGTGATAATCCACATGGTGACCCAGGTCGATCAATCCAGTACTCGGATCCGAAACACGAATTTTCCGATTTTTCTAAGGGTCATCATAGAATATAGCTAAAAAGATCCCTCATAAAATTTGCAATAATAGACTGAATGTTTCCAGTCACATTTCAATGCAATTCCGTTTCCAGGAATCTGGTCGGATCCAGCATCGGATTTGTTGACTTGGGCTATTAACTTCTCGTTAAGACAACATGATATCAGTGATGATCCCTATCTCACGATTGAAGAATAGGAAGAGCAAACTGATTTGAGCTATGGCACAGTTCATCGGATTCTCATCCATCGTTTAAACCTTAGAAAGATCATTGCACATTATTTACCTAAAGACCTCACCGATTTGTAGCGAGCGGAACGAGTTCGAATATGTACGGAAACTTTAGGAAAAATTCGGCAAGGAACATGGCGATTGTGTGATATAACAACCGGGGATGAATCGTGGTTTAATCATAAACAGTTTGATCGAAAATCGTCAAATGCAGCATGGGAGAGAAGAGGAGATCCTCCGCCGACTGTAGCTCGACAAAGTATGTGTGTTCCAAAGGCCTTACTAGTCTTCTTTTTTTAATCGGACGGTCATTGTATTAACAACTGTTTACGTCCTGTCATCGATGAAATTAAACGATAAAGAAATTCATACGGGGCCCGTGGTATAAAAACTCATCATGACAACCGAAAACCACATATTCGTAAGAATGTGTTAACCTATCTTGAATCAGAAGGTCTCATGGTGATGCCACATCCACCTAACTCTCCTGACTCATTGTCATGCGACTTTTGGGTTATTCGATTTGATCAAACAAAATTCGAATGAACGAAATGATTCACAATCATTACATGACGCTGTGATCAGTTTCATGTATTCTCTGAGCAAAGAAGAATATTAAAAAAAAACATTTGAAAAATGGATCGCAAGAATGCAGTTGTGTATAGATAACCAAGGCGATTGTTTCGAACGTTTTCACAAAACAAACAATTGATAAATTCATTCTTGTATTCCTTAGTTCTATCCTCATTACCTGTTGTCTATTGTGAAATAAATGGATGGCTAGTTCTGATGAAAGAAAGAAAAGAAGAAAATGAAGAAAAAAACAACACGTATAGATGGCTTTGTACACTCTTGCTATCAGATGGAGTTTGAGATAAAACATTTTTGTGGAAATTGTATTACTTTGACCTCATTTGAATATTGATCAAATAGCATCGAAAGATGGAGTAAAAGACGCTCTGTCGATTGGTAAAAATCAAATCTTCCGCCACTGCTTTTCGATAACCGTAAGTGTTTACAGTCATGTGTATGTGCACAACAAAAAGGTAAAGAACGTAAATTTGCGCGCCCGCTAATGATCGATGTGATATAAATGTACAGTAGTCATTTGCAATGTGCCCAGCTAAAAACATGATTACTGATCGAAAAAGTTTTTTTTTCCTGTTCTCTCATTTGGTATATAGTACTCGTTTCATAAATAACAGTGCGCAATAATACAATAGAAACAAATTCCAGCCATGCGATAGATCAGCCATCGCTCTATCCATATTTATAATGAGAAGAAAAATTACAGTAATATAGGAGGCGCCAAGTTATTTGATTAACTTTATTCAATATGCCTCCCCGTATAAGAAGCCTCCGGTGGTTTCTAATTTGGCAAACGTAAAAAACCAATTCCAGAAGAGCCTCTAATATATTTCATTATTTTTTGAAAATTTCGGGTACCTAAGTTTCTACAGATTTTTCAGTTTTCCTCTGAGGTTATACGCTCTTTTGGGTTACTACTTCTACTACTTCCTTATCTCGAAATTTACTCGTCTCTCAAAATTTTACTGTGGAAAAGTAATGCTGTATCGTTTATTTATATTGTACGTATATGAGCAAAAGCGTGCAGAACAAGATATTTTGCACAATTTCTTAAACTCAAAACAGAGATCCCAGTATAATGCAGTGATTGCTCATAGTTTCAAGTTTTAGAAATCTTTATTCATTTTTCGTTTGTGACGTTTCATGAAGAAGACAAATCGTATCTCCTGACGCCAGTATTACATCGTGAAATTTGAGCCATTTCTTTCATGAAAACGCTACCACTTATATAAAAGGAAACTGGGGTATATTTTATTTCAACATCGATCGCTAGTCGCTCATTACTATTTCTAAACAGCACAAATAAGAAAGAAAACAAATTGTTCTATGGAAGATATTTTTAGTTCAAAGTTAGCTATTTTCTCGGTCACATCATTAACGAAGTTTTACGTTATCAAAATAGGGTATATACGAAAATGAGTTTTATTTTTACTAAAAGTAATTAACCAATGTCCAATTACATAAGTCGATAGATAAATATAATGCCATCTATATGCAAAATAATAACTTCTTCATTATCTAAAACACTGCAGATAAAATGACGTTTCGAGAACTTTCTGATCGCCTTGTGTAAATTAATTCTTTTCATGTAAGCTTACAGTAATACGCATTTTTATAGAGCACATGTGCAGATCAGTAAAATATTATTTTTGTTTATCAAATACCCAGGTAAAATTTGTTATTTCAGTCTGTCTCACTCATGCGTAGCATTCAAAAAGTATGAGGCAAAATCGGTAGGGATAAAACAGAGTAATAACGAAAAAAAAAATCTATGCGTAGGTGAAAGAAAAATAGAGACGATTGTGAGAGAGATATGAGTTGCTAGCATAACTATTGTCTTCACATTCAAATGACGGCAAAAGGAGTAAGGTAAAAAGCTGTGATGGACGTATTTTTTTTGCGCTGAATCCGAATATGTATAGATTATTTAGATAAAAAGTCGTCTTCGCGGAGAAAATAAAATAATACTCCAAAAACCAACAATTGGAGAAAAACATGTTTTTTTTACTAGGAATTCGATGATAGGGTTTGAAAAAATTTTCGTATTTCTTTGAATATTTCACTCAATCCATGTCTTTATCATTAACGAGAATTCACTTCTGTTAAACTCACCCGATGATCGAGTGTCTCTCATTGAAAACGCATCAATCCATTTTCTAATGAAGATGGACATTTTTTTCTTTCACCATTCCGCTTCCCAGATGCCAGAGATACATTCTAGGTATTTTCTTTCCTTAACTCACTTTCACTCTCAAGATCACCCTGTTATTTTTCGACGTTTGCTATCCTACATACATGGATTTTATTTAATTTCTTGTTTCTAATCAAACAATGTGTTTAGAACGATAAAGGCCCTTGTGGTAGTCAATATGAGTACTTATCGAGCTGTTTTTTGTTACACATAGATATGTGCGAGATTTATTTTCAAGTGATTTTCTTTGATTTATTTGCATATATACCTTACGAATGCGATGTTCGACTATTTGAAAAAGAAATACATCATTATGTTGAATAGATGGTAAGGAAATATACTTTGACTGGGGAAAAAGAAACCAGCCTCTGTATATGTATATATGCGAAGAGACATAATTAGTGGTTCAAAGTGGAGTTTATCACTTTTCGATGTGATACCATACTAACTTTACACATTGAACTGAAAAACGTTTGGCAGATATCTTCACAAGTATCATTACGTTCATACGCTACTAAAGTTCACCAGAATTTTCTGGTGAACATCATAGACACATTTTTCTCAGCGAAATTGAATCTATATTCTTTAATCAGCTTGAGCATAGTAGGAATCTGCACGATGCCTGATGAATTGTGTTAGATGCACCCATAAACCTTCGATCGCATTTAATCCGCTATGAAACTTTGGCGAGATAGTAATTTCTATAACATATTTCCCAGTAACCATTTCTAATTTGGAAATCTAGAAGCAAAACAATCCTCACCTGTCCAACTAAGTCATAATATTGTTCATCTAGGTATCCAGAAAGTTCCGAAGAAGTAAAAGATGCTGCCTTTCTTTTGCATGCATCCAAAGCGTATAGTTTGACTAAATTCACTAATTCAAGATAGATATCGTAGAAGCTTACATTATGTTTACCATCTCTGTTGTCTTCGAAAAATTCTTCTACATCTTGTTCAACCAGAATTGTACCCCAATTATTGTAGCTCTTTCCGCGAACTCCGCCAATAACTTTTAAAACCAAATCAGTTTCTCGTCAGGGTATACGAAAATACGATAAGGGCCGTGAAGAATTTTCTTGTTTGATTGCTTCAAATAATTGCCCTATATCCAATATACTGATTTTCTTCTTCCAAAAATTATTTCCTTCACTTTTTTCATTGAGATCAGAAACGTAGATGGAAATTTTCGAGTCAAAAACATCGTCTGATCGATCGATATTTTTCTTTGTCCGACGACTTCTAATAGCTGCTGCTCATTGACATTTTCTTCTTGATTTTTGCCGCATCATGGCACTACAGAATCAAATAGATAAACTAAAATATCATAGGCAGATTCTTCTGAGAAAAGGACACCAAGTACTGATGCGAATCTATACATTATACACAAAGTACCCATGGGTACGAATATTCAAACATTAGTTCGATAAGTACTCATAATGACTACCACAAGGGTCTTTATCGTTCTAAACACATTGTTTGATTAGAAACAAGAAATTAAATGAAAAATACTGTTAAAAGTTTTTAGAAAGCATGTATGATAGGAAACGTCGAAAAATAACAGGGTGATCTTGAGAGTGAAAGTGAGTTAAGGAAAGAAAATACCTAGAATGTATCTCTGGCATCTGGGAAGCGGAATGGTGAAAGAAAAAATGTCCATCTTCATTAGAAAATGGATTGATGCGCCTTCAATGAGAGACACTCGATCATCGGGTGAGTTTAACAGAAGTGAATTTTCGTTAATGATAGAGACGTGGACTGAGTGAAACATTCAAAACCATACGAACATTTTTCCAAACCCTATCATCGACTTCCTAGAAGAAAACATGGCTTTCTCCAACTGTTGGTTTTTGGAGTATTATTTTATTTTCTCCGCGAAGACGACTTTTTATCTAAATAATCTATACATATTCACATTCAGCGGAAAAGAATGCATCGAATGAAGTAAAAAAATTTGTCGAACTTTGCGTGACGCTAAGCTTGCGTACAACTCTTTTGAAGGAATAATTATATATTCCAACAACGNACGGACGTTCTTTTCTTTCACCCTTCCACTTCCCAGATGCCCGAGATACATTCTAGATATCTTCTTTCCTTAACTCACTTTCACTCTCAAGATCACCCTGTTATTTTTCGACGTGTACTATCATACATGCTTTTTAAAAACTTTTAACAGTATTTTTCATTTAATTTCTTGTTTCTAATCAAACAATGTATTTAGAACGATAACGACCCTTGTGGTAGTCATTACGAGTACTTATCGAACTAATTTTTTAATATTCGTAACCATGGGTACTTTGTGTATAATGTATAGATTCGCACGAGTACTTGGCGTCCTTTTTTCAGAAGAATCTGCCTATGATATTTTAGTTTATCTATTTGATTTTGTAGTGCCATAATGCGGCAAAAATCAAGAAGAAAATGTCAATGAGCAGCAGCTATTAGAAGTCGTTGGACAAAGAAAAACATCGATCGATCAGACGATGTCTTTGATCCGAAAATTTCCATCAAAGTGTCTGATCTCAATGAAAAAAGTGAGTGAAAATAATTTCTTGAAGAAGAAAATCAGTATATTGGATATAGGACAATTATTTGAAGCAATCAAACAAGAAAAATCTTCACGGCCCTTATCGTATTTTCGTATACCCTGGCGAGAAACTGATTTGGTTTTAAAAGTTATTGGTGGAGTTCGTGCAAAGAGCTACAATAAATGGGGTACAATTCTGGTTGAACAAGATTCAGAAGAATTTTTCGAAGACAACAGAGGTGGTATAAATGATGTGAGCTTCTACGATACCTATCTTGAATTAGAAAATTTAGTCAAGCTATACGCTTTGGACGCACGTAAAAGAAAGGCAGCATCTTTTACTTCTTCGAAACTTTCTGGGTATATAGATGAACAATATTATGACTTAATTGGACAGGTGAGCATTGTTTTGCTTCTAGATTTCCAAATTAGAAATAGTTACTTGGAAATATGTTATAGAAATTACTATCTCGCCAAAGTTTCATAGCGGATTAAATGCGATCGAAGGTTTATGGGTGCATCTAAAACAATTCATTAGGCATCGCGCAGATTCCTACTATGCGCAAGCTGATTAAAGAATCTAGATTCAGTTTCGTTGAGAAAAACGTGTCCATGAAGTTCACCAGAATCTTCTGGTGAACTTTAGTAGCGTATGAACGTAATGATACTTGTTAAGATATCTGCCAAATGTTTTTCAGTTCAATGTGTTAAGGTAGTATGGTATCACATCGAAAAGTGATAAACTCCGCTTTGAACCACTAATTATGTATCTTCGCATATATACATATACAGAGGCTGGTTTCTTTTTCCCCAGTTAAAGTATATTTCCTTACCATCTATTCAACATAAAGACGTATTTCTTTTTCAAATAGTCGAACATCACATTCGTAAGGTATATATGCAAGTCAATCAAAGAAAATCACTTCAGAATAAATCTCGCACATATCTATGTGTGACAAAAAACAGCTCGATAAGTACTCATATTGGCTACCACAAGGGTCTTTATCATTCTAAACACATTGTTTGATTAGAAACAAGAAATGAAATGAAAAATACTGCTAAAAATAAAAAATCCATGTATGTATGATAGGAAACGTCGAAAAATAACAGGGTGATCTTGAGAGTGAAAGTGAGTTAAGGAAAGAAGATATCTAGAATGTATCTCGGGCATCTGGGAAGTGGAAGGGTGAAAGAAAAGAACGTCCGTCTTCATTAGAAAATGGATTGATGCGTTTTCAATGAAAGACAGTCGATTATGGGGTGAGTTTAACAGAAGTGAATTTTCGTTAATGATAAAGACATGGATTGAGTGAAACATTCAAAGAAATACGAAAATTTCTCCAAACCCTACCATCGAATTGCTAGAAAAAAACATGGTTTTCTCCAACTGTTGGTTTTTGGAGTATTATTTTATTTTCTCCGCGAAGACGACTTTTTATCTAAATAATCTATACATATTCACATTCAGCGGAAAAGAATGCATCGAATGAAGTAAAAAAATTTGTCGAACTTTGCGTGACGCTAAGCTTGCGTACAACTCTTTTGAAGGAATAATTATATATTCCAACAACGATAGAAGTTCTCCATCTTTCTATATATTTGCTTATTTATTTGCATTTATCTACTATAAAAATAGTTTAAGGAGAACGAAGTCATCTCAATTCAAGATATCGGAAAAGTTCTTAATTTCTTCCCTATTTCTTTCATAGCTATCTCTTTCTAATTTACGATTGCTTAGCGAGGATCCTTAAATATTACTCAATTTATCATCCAAAGCATATGTAAGTTATTTTCTGCAGTACATCTAACTTTCGGATAGAATCCAAGATTTGTATATTTATTTCAATCACAAACTTCTTCTTTTATAAGAAAATCGATAAAAACTCAGGCAAAAAATGAGTTTTTCTTCAACGATGCACTATTTTTGCTATGACTTTGATATTATTCACATCGTTTGAAGATCTGTGAAATAGGGTAGATTATGGATTAAGACTTAGGCTATTAGAATATACAAAGAAAAAAAATTTGCCAGTCTTTCATAAAATATAACAAGGTCGGCGCCATTACTTTTGGCATGCCCTATGTATAGACTCGATTCCGACATGCACTCGGTTTCAAGCCAGTCCGCTTTCTTTATTAGATATTGATTTGGACATCGAGGATATAAGGTTATTCGTAAATTCGGGCGAAACTGTTAATCATTCGGGGGATAGATCTATTATTTACAATGAACATCTCACCAAGGTATGAACAGGAATCTGTCGCGCTACTATTGTTAAACGATCTTTCTCTTCTCAGGAGGCGGAAACTTATCAAACTGGCCGTCTTATGCACCTTTATATTATGGCTTTTAGGCGTTCTTTCCGGTTTTATCGCCATGTTTTTCCCACAAAGTGACAAAACTGGTACTGCCTTGATCGGTTTCACTGACGATAAAAGTATGTGAAAAAATAGATAATGATAATGCTATTCCATTCATACCTGAAACAATTTTACGTTTCTCGCAGATTCCTCTATTATTACTCTCAACTATGAAACAAACTTCGTAACTAATGGTTCATCTGAGATTACTGATCTCTCAGGACTTGCTGATCAAGTAATGATTGTTTGAATAAACTTGATTCTGCTATAAAACATCTTTTTCAACATTACTATAGATTTCGAAAAAGTACAGCGTGTCCCGGAATATGGTACGAGTACTTTCAGCTCGATTTGTTCAATCTCTCATTTTAACCACAAGAACACCACAAAGGTTTGTTAAGCGCTATTCTAATACAATACTGAATATAAAACTAGATACGGCCAAAAAGGCGAAACTAGGAAGCGAGTTATGAGTCTTCATCTGCAGATACAAAAATTCATTTTCTACTTTTACACCATACACATGCAAAGTACTTCCTATACTAGAAGCATATTTTACTCTCCATCTAAATTTTAGCGCACCGACCACTACCACCGCAACCCCACAGTTAAAAACGGTATTGGCGATTGAAACGGAATTTACCTATCCAAGTTCATGTAATTAAGTAACAGCGTGTACCAGCCATTATATAACTAACATCGAAAACACAATTCAAAGGGCTGATTCAGCGGTTACCTTCGCGGTATCACTTAGCAGCGGTATCAGCCTCAATCTTGGCGTCACTTTTTCTTCATTCAACGTCACCGAACCGACTACTACTACAACCACCACCACCACCACTACCATTACCACAACAGAAACCACCACAGCAACCACCAGTACGACTACCGAAACCACCACTACCACTACAGCAACCACCACTACTACTACAGAAACCACTACTACGACTACGGAAACCACTACTACCACTACGGAAACCACTACTACCACCACAGCAACCACCACTACTACTACAGAAACCACTACTACGACTACGGAAACCACTACCACCACTACAGGAACCACCACTACTACTACGGAAACCACTACTACGACTACGGAAACCACTACTACCACTACAGCAACCACCACTACTACTACAGAAACCACTACTACCACCACAGCAACCACTAGTACGACTACAGATACCACTACTACCACTACAGAAACAACCTCAACGTCTACATCAACTACAACAACGACAGAAACTACTACCACGACTACAGAAACAACCTCAACGTCTACATCAACTACATCAACGACAGACACCACTACCACAACTACAGAAACAACAACAGAAACTACTACTACCACTACGGAAACAACAACAACAGATACTACTACTACGACTACAGAGACAACCTCAACGTCTACATCGACTACAACAACTACAGAAACAACAACGACAGAAACTACTACTACCACCACGGAAACAACCTCAACGTCTACATCAACTACAACAACGACAGACACTACTACCACGACTACAGAGACAACCTCAACGTCTACATCAACTACAACAACGACAGACACTACTACCACGACTACAGAGACAACCTCAACGTCTACATCAACTACGACAACGACAGAAACTACTACCACGACTACAGAGACAACCTCAACGTCTACATCAACTACAACAACGACAGACACTACTACCACGACTACAGAGACGACCTCAACGTCTACATCAACTACAACAACGACAGATACTACTACTACCACCACGGAAACAACATCAACGTCTACATCGACTACAACAACGACAGATACTACTACCACGACTACGGAAACAACCTCAACGTCTACATCAACTACAACAACGACAGATACCACTACCACTACGGAAACAACCTCAACGTCTACATCAACTACAACAACGACAGAAACTACTACTACCACTACAGAAACAACCTCAACGAGTGCCACAACTACAACACCGCCGATAGGTAAGCTAATGTCTCCTTTATCTAATTCTCAGACGTCACCAAACAAGAGCGATTTCTTTATGTGAATATAACTAAGCACGAGCAGAAGTATTTGTAGCTTGAGAAAGGGATTGATTAGTAAGGTATTGAAAGAATCGTATATCGATGACATATGAATCGTGTACGTAAGTTATTATACTCACTGTGACATTGTAGGTCAAATCCCGATTGCCGCTGTCAATGGAACACTGGGAGCTGTTTACAATACATTTGTAGGTGGTGATAGTACGGCATCAACAAGCGGCTTCGGTATTGGTCAGTACCCACCGGGTCAATCACCAGACGCGGCGTGGGATAATGATGCGTCAACTGTGTATATAAATTTTGGATCATGTACAGACTCTGATAATAATAATCAGTGTGGTTTGAACACTGGCTTCTATCTTGAATTACAACGTGGTCCAACTGTAGTGACGGCGTTTCAATTGTACACAGGCAGTGATCATTCTGAACGTGATCCGCTAATCGTGTCGTTAGAAGGAAGTAATCAATCAGGATCAAATCTGACACTTGGTAGCAGTTGGACTCTTATTTATAATGGCAATAGCGGATTACAAAACTATCCGGGTCCTAATAGCGGCGGCTCGATACAGCAAATAAACAACACGATTTCATATAAGAGCTATCGATTTCTTGTGTCTGCAAAACGATCAACGTCAAACAGTGTTCTGTATTCTGAACTGAAATTGTATGGATACTAACATGTTTATCTTACTGTTGCAAACTAATTCAACGCTCTGCCAGTCCATGTTCTTTTCTTGTAGAGTTTAATGTTTTGAGTTTTTTGTCTTTTCAAGACGCGCTTTCTTATTATCATATCTCATTGTTGTAAGCATTCATCACTGTTGCACGTTTCTGCGCCTATAACTTTTATTTTATTTCACTATCTATACCATTATGGGTAAACTGTGTTATAGTGTAAATGTATTGTTCATTTTAAATGATTCGAATCGTATCGAAATACAAAAATCTCTGTACAAATTCTAAAAGAGTACTCTTTTAAAAGTTAAACATTGGAATTTAGACCAAACCTGGTGTTGACTCTGTTTATGTCAAGAAGAAATAAGACGTGGATTACCTTGTGACATGATATTGCCAATGTGTTACTGTGAGACCGACATGAAACTTTCCAGTCGAATACTTTTCGAAATAAATTGTGATATTCAGAAACTTTGATTGGGTTTATTGATTCCACTAAGTTTTTACCTGTTTTTTTACGTGATGATTTTACTCGGCGTCTGAATCTAAATGAATCGAGACGAACACAAAAATACTTTATTATTGTGAAAATCACAGACGTTTCAATTCAACAATAAATCTATTGATCAGCAAATCATATGATCATTGTTGACATTCTACCGACTGATATATCGTAGCTTTTCGCTTCACAGTTTTAATGTAAGAGCTGTTTTACTTTGGCACCGAAAACATCGGTCAAATGAATATATAAATCATATTTATATATTCTTCATTATAATCTCGCACAAATATACACCATATGAAAAGAAACCAAGAAAATACAGAAGTATTTCATTGTATTTTTCGATTGTTGAAATGTCCGATGCAATGAAAAATAACAAATGATATCTGAGTTGCATGTCGAGATGCAAGGTCTATACACATTCTGTTGATGATTGAGTGGGTTGATAAACATATGATATACACATATCTTCAACATAGTAATATCATCAGCGCGCGCGTTTGATTTGTATACAGTCAAAGGTGCAAAGAGAATGTTTTTTTTCTCGTATCACTGTTGTGTCACTAGTTCGATTCGTATTTTAGTTAAGCGCAAACAGCTTCACAAACACATAAGTCACGCTTGTAGGTTGTGTCTACGTCATGAATAATATTCATCATCAAACGTTGTGACGACATCGAAATATTCCGATCGATTATAGTTACAGTATCAAACAGGTAATGTTTTATTAGTATAAAATAGATTTGATCGGATTGGAAGTGAGACTGTAAGGGATGTTGTTGACCAGCAGCTGTTAGTCGTATTAAGGACGGATCTGAACATGATAAATAATCTTCGCTTCGCCTCATATTCTTTTGTATTTGACTGCACTTCTGAGGTAGTTCGTCGGGTCTCTGGAGGGGAAATCGCAAAAACTTACGAACTATAAGTTTACGAGTTGAGTTCTTCTTTCATAACTTTCTCCGCGGTTTCTTTTAATTATCAATGACGAATGTTAGCTGGGACTAGCTACTAAAAATTATCCATGCATGGCGACAAATGCATCGAACCTATTAAAAAGCAACATCTTTTGGGACGTAATACTTGAACGGACATTTTATGCAGTCATCAAGAATTTCTTCATGCGTATAGAACAAGTTCTCAAACAAATGGAACTTTTCGTACAAACGAAAACCGATCTTATGGAAATGCCTCTGCTTCACGATCTCCCATTCGGATATTCCAGCCTCGAGATAAACTATCAGAGGTGCAGAATCTTCCAGAAAATAAAAAATTTCCCCACCCACGAAATTTTTTTCGGGAAATTTCCCTAGGCTGTATTATTTTTGCCGCTCTCCAACCAACTTTATTTTGCAAGAAAAAGAAATGAAAAAGCATGGCAACTTCTTGTTCTATTCGTTTTCATTTGTATAACATAGGGATTCTTTCTATTTGTTCTTTTCTTAGGCGGTTCAAAACAATTGAACCAGGAGAAACTAGTTTGAATAGACGATAATGGCCTGTTTTTTTGAAAAAAGTCCAGTTTTTATCTTTTAATTGAATGAAGTAGTTATCGAGGGAAGATTTGATGAATGGATCAGCCAGATGAAGCGGTGGTGCGTTCCAATGTAACATCACTTCTTCGTCTAAGGATTCGTGATCCAGAACTCGATTGCTATGAATATGTTGTTTTAAGATTGAAGCAGCACTTTCGCAGACAGCTTCGCTTCTGATCTTAACAACCATCAAAGAATAGAAATATAGAAACTGTTCAATGCCATTGGCCAAATATTTGTTTGTGAAGAAAGATTTCATTACTTTTGTCGTGGCAATTCTATTATCTTTTGTCCAAACATTCCAATTTTCTCTATCTTTCAATTCTTCCAAACATCTTTGCTTCCACATCAGATATTGATCGTTGAGTAAAATATCGTCAAGCTGGATATATTTTGAATTGTACTTCGTAAACTCGAGTAGAGTTTGAAACGATGACTGTCCATACTGGAACACATCCTCCTTTTTCTCTGTAACCACTTGTTGATACAGCGCTGCAACATCAAGACAATTAGCCATTGTTTCAAATATAGCCGGGATTTCTTTGAATCGATCATCGATTGAAGTACACAATGCTCCACAAAAATCAATTAATTTCTCTCTCAAGTAGATTGTAGGATCATCTAACTCGTGTTCAACAGCTTTGCGTATGACTGGTCTCCCTTGGTATTCTCCACGAAGCAGATCATTATAGTTCGAAGATAAGTGTGTTGATGTTAATGTCACTTCCCCGAATTCTTCATTTTCTTTCTGTGGAAACTCTCGTTCTTCGTCTTCTTCATCTTCATTTAAAAGAGCTTTCCGAGTAGCAAAGGAAATCTCATCCACTTCTAGTTGAGAAAAAGAAAAAGATTGAAAGTAAAAGAAAAGACAAAGATTTAGAAATAAACTACCTAGCATTTCCTGTGTGTTGTTCAAATCGTTGGACAGTTTGTCTACTTCTTCCGCATATGCAGATAGAGATTTCTTCAGCTTTTCTAACGCGTACGTGTACTCCCAGGGAAAAGCGTTCACCATTTGAATGGACAGCGAAGATTTAACGATCAAAGAGTAAATGTCGTTAAGACCTAGAAGTTTTCCAACAAAATCGATCGAAGAAATATCATCAAGCTGGAAAAACAATATTCATCAGTATTCAGTTACAATCTTTGATTTCTAACTTACTTTAAAAGTAATTTCATCATCAGCCCCTGAATGAGAGATAGCGTAAGTACGTCTGGTTCTTGTACTCACATTGCCATGTGATAAAGCATTCAACTGATCCTCTTTCTCCTGTATTTCATGCATAGATCTCCAATCTCGTAAGATGGTTTCATAAACTCGTCTTTCGGAACTAACAAAACGTGTTGTGTGGAATTGTTTTGGGGCTAAGATATCCTCACCAAGATATTCCGCAGTTTCGAGCAGTATTTCATACTGCTTTCCATATGAATATTTTCTCATCAGTGCTGCACACAGCTTGATGAAATTGTTTATCCAAACAAACTTTCGTTGACGTTTGACATCATTAATAGCAAGCTCCAATAAATGTGCGCAGTCCCACGATATAGTCAACCACTCCGGATTCATTTCGAGAGCAGATGATATGTGTTTTTCAATATTTAGATGTATGTATGCTCCATCAACAGCACACCCAGAGAGCTGTTGTTGCAATATTTTTTTGGTTAAACCAAAAGAGTTCATCACGTGAATGCAACTGTAGTCGAAAAAAATCAGATAAGATAAAGAGGCTTAGGTATTAAGATAGCTTTGCTAAACTCACTTATCGGCTAGATCCTGTCCGCTTATCTCTGTCTTGCAAAGTGGTAATTGTAAATATATTGGCGTTAAAACGCCATCCACAAATGTGATAAGTAGCGTTGTCTGAATAGATCGCTTCAAAAGAGTTACTTTGTCGAAAGTAATGCCAAATGGAAGAGGGTGTTTAGTAATCGGATCCACGCGAGCCAAGTATTCTATAATTTTTAATTTCATCTCCTCTGCCATAACATTTCGTAACCTATTATATATATATCGACTATGTCTAAACAGTACGATAAATGTGAGGTGCACAGAGAAACAAAATCATAGAACAGATTTCACCTGTAATTTCCAACAGTACCACCACACAAATCAATCAAGTTAATAGTTTCAACAAACTTCAAACCACCTAGTCCAGTGCGAATACAGAATAATGCGATTCTCCCGATATTGTACCCAGCTCTGTCATTCTTTCTCATGAGATCATCGATTTCTTCTTGTTCCTTTTGAGCTTCTCTCGTACACCATATATGCAAGCTATTTGAAAGATGAAATCTTATGTTTTTTTTCAAGTCACGAAATCTTTGAGTTTGATTGTAGCCTCCATCTTGCTCAATAAATTTAAATACGCCGAATGACGATTTTATTGTTGATTGAAGTTGTTTTGGTGCATTCGTTTTGTGCTTTGAACAGGGTAAACACGTCATAAGTTCCATCTGCGAGTTGATTTCAAAACTTTTCATTTTGTATAGATCGTCTGAACTTTTGATTTCACTGAGTATAACGTCTAATTCTTCCGCTTCGTTAGCTTGCTTAGTGTTTGAAATTGAACCTTTTGTGCCAAGTAAACTATCAAACTTGGTGCTCAAGTTCGAAAGTTGTTCGCTCATATAAAGCAGTTGCTGTTGAAATTGGTGCTCATTTGATGGCGAGAAAGACGAAGGTATGACAGGCGTTGTAACAGGTGAGGTAAATGCAGAAGTTATTGCAACAGGTGAGGTAAATGCAGAAGTTATTGCAACAGGTGAGGTAAATGCAGAAGTTATTGCAACAGGTGAGGTAAATGCAGAAGTTGTTGTGACAGGCGAGGTGAATGTAGAAGTTGCTGTCGTTTGTGTTTGATCGAAAGTAGATAAATCATCGTTCACTTCGTTGACATTCGTTCGCTTCTCAACCTGGTCTGTAGTGAGTGGTATCGGTTTTTGTTTCCAGAAAGTAGATAGAGCATTTGCAGCGACTCCGACTCGAACTTTAAAACCGGGATGATATGTATTGGTATGTGAGGCTAACTTGTCTCTCCGACCTGTCCATTCACAATAAAAACAGCCAACGTTTTCCTTACTAGGAAACATCTTAGTCGATCAGAAAACCAGTAATCGTTGGGAGAATCAAAATAAGAAAGAGAGTGAGTAGAAATAACTAGAAGTATTATTTTTACATGATGTGCGAAAAAACAAAAAGAATGTTTCTTTCTCTTCTTTATCACTTACGTGCGTAAGCTTGAATTCGATGTTATCGAATGAGCCTAATGGTACAAAAGAAAAGAAAAATAGATGCGCAGAGAGAGAACCGAAAACGAATAGTAACTAAAATAACGAATGTAGATATGTGTGCGTGTGTATAAAGATGGACATACGTATGAGATTAGAAAAAACAAAAGAATCAAATGTGAATATTTTCACCACGATGAAAAATAGAATAGCGTGTACAACTAAAGCAATAAGCTTACAAGAATTATTTATATCCTATATTTATTTGTGGAGAGAAGAGGATTTTCCCTTCTAACATTCTTTTCCAAAATTTTCCCACTGTGACAATTTCAAAATTTCTTTGAATGTGCCAGTTTTAAAAAAATTTCCCCGTATAACAATTTGCAAAAATTTCCCCCAGTATAACAACTTTTCAAAAAATTTCCCCACCCGCGCGGGTGCGCACGAGGAAGATTCTGCACCTCTGCGCCGCAGAGTAATGGGAACACCTCTTCTACACTTGCAGCAATCGCACAGAGAACAAAGAACCATACATGGACAACAAAACACGATACGCAATAAACTGGCGCAGTTCAGACTAGGACATCGACATTCTACTTTGTCTGTGATGCCACTGATATCGGATAAAAAGAACATTGAATCAACGCGTCCACATGTACAACCGCATCGTCGTTGCTCTTCTCGTTGAATAATCCTTCCATCGGTTAATATAACAGAGTATTTCGAACCGAAGCCGCAACAACTATCATCACAATCATAGGTTTGCGCGATTCTTTCTCCAGATGCAAGAGTAAACACATTGTTGATGCTTGGCGGTTGTTCCACGACTACGTATTTACGTTGTACGTACATGCGACCTAATATGAGAAACAAAACAAAGTGAATAATTCAGTCGGTGATACGAAAATAATACTTACATTTCGTAAGAAGCCATAACTTTTCACTCTGATTATCGATGAATTTTTTCCGAATGGTCCGAGTTTCTCCACAACCGTGGTATATAAACAGCCATAGGAAGAAAACCGAGTTACCAAGTATATCTCTTATCTTTTATCCCAACGTAGGTTGTTAATAGTAACTTTTTTTCGTAGAAACTATATGCGAGCTCGCACATGAAAACAAATACTTTCGAATCAGAAAGATATTTTACTCATTCATATGAAGACTTCCTATTTCCATTGCAATATATGGACAGATGAACGTCCATGCTTCACATATTCTTCTGTAAAACAATATCCTCAACCAGCTTAACTTGTCTCAATACGTATTCTCTACCAAATCAGTGAAATAAATAAATGAGAAATTATGCAATAGATTAGACTTCGCCAAGTTCATTTTTTGTTGAACTTAAAAAGCAAATAGATAGTCATACAGCAGAACTTCTGATCTGCAGATTGGACTTTTGTGGATATAGACGGCGCTGTTTCACCAGTTATTCTAAACAATTACTGATCAAATTATCGTCAACGACAAATAATTCGTGCTATTCATAGAAATATTTCGACCAAGAACGATGTACAGATATTGTCTCAAAAGAGATCGTATGTATTGATTCGATCGCCTGAAGGAATAAATTTCTATTATTGTTTTTATTTATCACGTTATCTCGTCTAGAACATTTCAAAATACTTGCGCAAGAAATGTTTCCACTAACAATCTCCGTTATACCTGAGGATCTGAATATCAGAGAAGAAAATAAAGGTAATTTTGCTATCGATCTTCGCGTCATACAGATGACTATTTCAGTCATCTTAGTGAATATTCATTATTCAAGTTAGCTGACTGAAACTATTGACTACTTATTAACAACTATAGAATGTGTTTTGCAACGATTACTCATTTAGTACGAATGACGTCGGCTATAGGGCTTCAGTTCACAAAAAAGTACATTCTCCGACAGAACGCAAGCCGGGGCGAGCACGAGCGGCCTGAATCAAAGAAAAAAAATGCGACGAGCGTCTCTTTCCTCGCTTACTAATCGTTTGAAAGAAGCGAGGAAGGAACAGTACCGGCAATAACATTTTGAGTACACGTTGTTTGTAGGTGCTTGAATGATGGAAGAAAAAAACACACACATATATAAGTCTATTCATTTTCCTTTTGTCATACAATCAAACTAGCTTCAATCGATGCCATTGAAAACATACTTATTAAATAAACTTTTCAATCGAAAGTGTCGTCTCAATGGTATTTGGCCATCTGCTCGTTTGCCACATAAGCACAATCTACGTCAAGCCTTTAATGATCGTTTAATCTACAGTCCCGAAGATCTTCCACCGAAAGTTGACCTACGGAATGATATGACACATGTCGAAAATCAATCAAGTATCGGTAGTTGGTAATCATAATTGAAATACCTTGACTGACAATTCGTTTTCCCTCTCATTTTAGTTCGGCTAATGCTCTCGCCGGTAACGATCATACAAAACTTAGTATATCGCTTCAATGTATACTTTATTCTTAGGAGCATATGAGTATTTAGCAAAAAAACATCATGGTGAAAGCATTGATGTAAGTCGACTATTTATCTACTACAATGGTCGAGAAAAAGAGCAGCCATCGGAAGCAGTTACAGATTCAGGTTGTTCTATGACAAGCGCTATCGAAGCACTGGAGCAATTCGGAACTTGTCTCGAATCGATATGGCCATACGACGTTTCCAGAGTAAACACACGACCGAATAACGAAGCATATCAAGCAGCTAAACCACACACGATTTCTGAGGCACTCCAAGTCAGCATTGACTTACATGAAATGAAATCGTGTCTTGCACAAGGTTTTCCGTTTGTATTCGGTCTCCGTTTGTTCACGTCATTTGATAAAGCAGCTAAGACAGGTGCGGTACCGATGCCGAGTGCAAGCGATCGTAGTCGTCAATCTGATGGCAGGTAGGTCGATTTCTTTACTAGAAACTCTGATGGAATTTTTTTTTCTTATTTCCCGTTAGTCATGCGTTAGTTGCCGTCGGTTATAGCGATCAGTCGCAGTCGTTCATTGTTCGAAATTCTTGGGGGACAGACTGGGTAAGGAAAGTTGTAGATAAACAAATTAAATAGAACTTTTCGTTTAATATTCCACAGGGCGATCGTGGATACTGTTATATACCGTACGATTATATGACAGATGCAGATCTTTGTTTTGATGCGTGGACAATTCGTAAAGTTCCTAACGACGATTTTGGTCAATCGCATTGGGATTACAATGACGAGGTTGATTATCAAAATAATAATAACAACTACGGCGACGGTGATGACGACGATGATTACAGTAATGGAGATAACCGTACAATTGAACAGTTCGATGAAGATGATTTTGGAATCAACTTTTTCGATAACGCTGCACGTGGTTTTGATGGCGATTCGCGGAATAGAGATGACCCTTTTAATTACAATGACGGCGGAGGAAACAATCAGCAGTGGGGCGGAGACGATCGTTCTAATTACAATGATGGCGGAAGATATAATCAACAATGGAATGGAAGTGATCAGTTTACTTATAATGATCGAGAAGATTATGGTCAGCAATGGAATAGAGATGATCAATCTGAACATCATCATAAACACGGTCACCATCATCACCATCACAGACACTAAACGAAAATCTGTGCACATATGTTTATGATGTCGTATGATGTAGTTGTGAGCATGAGAATAAATTAACCATACTCGTTGTCGTAAGCTTTGAAAACTCAGACAAGGTTGATCAACGCATAGATTTCAACTTCGAGCTATATCGAAAGGAATGAGTGGTTAACAGTATTATAATACTATTTATTAGGGCCTAACCATGGAACTCAGTCATTTCTTGACGTCAATACGATCGCCCACGACTCGGTTTACCTGCCGTGTAAGGATTTAAAAACTGATTTGGTACTCTCATGTGATAATCTCTAGACACTTCGCGACAGTTCTTTATGCAAAGCCCGCAGCGTATACAATCGTCCTGTCTCGCACTCTATTTTGATTTCGATAGCTTGTATTTAAGTAATCAGTTTGATTCATTAATAAGTAGAAGATTTATTTTTGATCAGTATATTCTTTTGTGTTGAAAATCTATCTTGCATACTTCTTATCTTAGTAATTTAAACAGGTTTGTGCTAATCAGTAGTACGCCACAAACATCTCAGCTACTTCAGAGAAGTAACACACCGAACTCAGCGATCATTGAACCTACATATTAAACCAGGATGAGTCTCAATACAGTTCCCGAGGTAGTATGGCAGACATAAAACTATGAGACAACTTGGACTACACTCACAGCTAAATGATTTTGAAAAAATGTATCAAACCCATAAATCTTTGAGACATCTGCTCATGCATTTACTTTTGTTCTAATCTTTCTCTCCAATAAAACTAGTTTCTTTCTCTCCTCACTCAGCTCACAACCGACATATAACATGTTTTCTAATCAAGTTTCTGCGATCTCTCATGTAATTTATTGCTCAACATACTTCAGCCTATCTTTCATTGTATTTTCTACTCTTTCAGTCACAATCTGATCAGCCTAATCCGCCACAAACCACTGATAGCCAATCAGAAATACGGTTAAGTATCAGATGAGTTGCAAAGAGAGAGAGCAATGTCTTTCTCTTTTTCTTCTATTTAGTTGTGAATACTGTCGACAAAAATGGAAGAAGATTCTTTTGACGAGTCTAGCAACAGCATTAATGATGACCATATGCGTTATCGTTTCAATAATTATGGCAAAGAAACATTCAGATCTATTGGTTACTGTAGCAAGACGGACAACAACAACAAGTGTTACCACAACAGCTGTGACGACGACGACAACAAGTGTTACGACAACAACTGCTACAACCATGT